CTCTCCCCCTCTCCCCCTCTCCCCTGTCATTCTATCCCCATTCTTCCTCTTTTTGCTCTCTCGTCTCGGTATTTCTGTGCAGCAGCAGCAGCAGCAGCAACAGCAGCAGCACCAACAGCAGCAGGAGCAAGAGCAGCAACGGCAGCGTTTGTACATTCTATCTCCGCAGCTTCTATTTGTCTATTATTCTGGTAATAAGATCGTACGGCGAAGCAAACATTATGACAGCGGATAAACGGAAGCGGTTCGAAATTACAACCGGCGACGGCGCCTCCAGTGCACGGCGCATTAAGTAGAGGAATGGTATTTCTCTCTCTCTCTCTCTCTCTTTTTTTCTCTTAGCAATTGCACGCGCTATTGTATCCAAGTTTTATGCGAGTAACGCCGATTACATTAAATTTGTGTGCGCGTTCAAGTATTCGTACCGATACCTGAACCGAATAGACAGTACGAGAGCCATTTCGTTAACGTAATGAATATATGCGTCACGTGCACGCCGATTAATTCTTGATCAATATACGGCTAGTAATTAGAAGCGTTTTCTAATCCCTGATCAGAAGAAAATGCATAAAATATTGTTCGTTCCTATATTAAATAATTTCGGAAATATATCAGCAGCGAGTTTCCATTTCTTAATGCGCGCAAATATTCGTCGAGTAATCACGGCAAATTGCCGCACTGCTCTTGCACACACCTCGCGCGAGAGCTAACGAACGGTTTGGGACGCACCCGGAAGAGGTTCACGTATGCGGGCCGCGCAACCGCGCAGAAGAAAACTCTGAAGAATTTGCCCACGTCCGCTCCCGATTGAGCCGAGAGTTCATCGACGAGACTCAGTTCTTATTTCCTCGCGAAAATTAACACGATCTCTCCGGAAATCGCGGCAGAGGCCGCGTTCGCAAACTGTTCGCAAACTCGCGAGAAAAAAAAATGATGGATCTCGGCGGCGTATCGCGGCTCCGCGTTTCCGCGAAATCTAGGGGATCCCTCGAAACGGTCATCGAGGAGGAAGAGGCACGGTGGCTGACCGAGCGGACTTGACTTGAGCGAACGGACGAGCGAAGGAACGATCGCTTATTCCTGACGAGGAAGGCACGATCGACGGTGTACACGCGCGAGCGGGACGGTGAATGCCCAAAACTCAGGTGGTGTCAATGAACTCGGCCATGTGAGGAGTTGGCCGAGGCCTCCTCCTCGGCTATACCCACTATATCGGGGTCTTGTCTTTCCCATGGGACCGAGACTAATTTCGTGACTTTGCGAAAGCGACGCGGCGCGCGTGTACACCCGCGAGTCGATAACGCCAAGTGTGACGGATTTCTAGAACGACTTTTCCAGGATTTTTCTATCTTACGGTACAGTTATATTGGGCGACGAGACGCGCGTCACCGCGCGCACGTGATTGCGTCGCATGCCAATATGCCGGATTGTCCACTTGCGCTATATTAATACGAGACTGTATTGCTAATGGAAATGATATTATGGAAACTTACCGCGTAGCAAAAACGTCTTTTCGTCTTTCGCAAATTTATTGAAAATTTCAGTTGATGGAAAAGATTATCTTGTTACATATCAAACGAATAGAGAAAAAGATTCTAGATTCTGAATTTCTCTTATTAGCACAGAAATCGCGAGAAATATATGCTTACTGAAAAATCTTTTATCAAATCTAGCATGAATAATAAAGACATTCGATCGTGGATTAGGCGATCGCAATTAATTATGCGTGATGCTATAACACGTCTAATTGCATGCCAGAACATATTTGGGACTACGTGCCGCAGGTAATGACGAGGTGAACGGTCTAGACTGACTCCCCGAGGGGCATTTGCTTGTAACCGCGACAAGAAAACCGGGTAGAGAGGATAAAACACGTATCTACACGAGATCGCCGTCTCGTACTCTAACATCAAATCTCACGTCTATCAAAATTAGACAACTGGTAATAGCCACAGGATTCTATCGCGAAGGTCTCCTACCTCATCATGCATTTCGATCGAATTGCGCTAACCAATAGATCGTAAGCATAGTATTAGGATATCGACAGAGTGACGTAACGTAACGTTAAGGAATCAAACGGTCCCACCTCATGTGAGAGACTCCTCCCGCCTGACTCCCCCCCCCCCCGACGCTCCTTTTAACCGTCTCCCTTCTCCTTTTGGATCGTCAGTCATGCCGCGGGTTAGCGAATCTTTGAAGAGGTCTTCCTCCCTTCTTTTGCAACTTCGGCGCGCGGTTACGTCGACGGTGGAGAGGAGAAGGTGAATCGGAGTGAGGAACTCGCGGATGAAGTGGGAGAGGGTTGACCGCCGAAAGAGGAGCTCGCGAGTAGTCGCGATTCGATCACGAGTCCGAGCGTATCACTGCCATAGATTACATAACTATGACGAACACGTGCGAGAATAAACAAGCATATAATCGTGTAATCGAGGCAATAATCGATTCGATAATATTAGTACAACTAAAGCAGATCGATCGAAATCGCGATGATCGCGATTGACACTAACGTTACGCGACGATCTATCTTTGCGATCAACATTCCGACATTAAATCAAAGACGAGAAATACTCACCCTGTACGTAGGCAGATTCGGCATCTTCATTGGCGTTCCACGAGGAATATTCGATGTCGTCCCTTACGAATATGGATGCTCCATCTCAGTCTCCTCAAGTTGGAAGATGAGACTTCCTCTCTTCCTCTCACTTCTTTCATTATCGCGATATTATCGCTTTACGATGATGTTTCCTTCTAGCTTCGGAGGTTTTGATATTTTAGTATTGTCCAGTCGGATCGAGACCCCCGGTAGCGGCCATCTCGTGACCTTGAGGTATCTCTTTTTTTTCTGCTTCTTCGTTTCTTCCGGACCTTCCTTCACCTTCTCAATACTGACCGGTCGGATCGAGTCCAGCCATGTTGCACAATTTTAATTGAAAGTCAATCGAAACTCGCCTTCGGGGGGGGGGAGGGGGAATATGGATATATGAGCGGTCTCGAGAAACGCAGTTATATTCGACGGCACTTTAGTACAGACCGGTGGGGTCCAATCCTCCTGCTGCCATGTCGATGATAATGATCTTCAACAACAACACTGAAAGCGGAAGTATGTAGTTGCTCGATCGCAGAGAGAAAAACGTCTTCAGTAGAGACCGGTGGGGTCCAACTGCCGAGCCATATCTTCTTACTCGGCTCCCTTGGAAAGCTAACAGAGCGTTGCAGGCACTTCTGACACTTCGAGTATCCCGCAATCGTGCAATCTCGTGCGAACGGCGGCTCCTCCAATTATCGGAAACGTCCTGAATTATCGGAAATCCTCGAGACAGTCCTGTCGAGTGAAGTGGCGACACAAGAACGTAATTGTCGCTGCTACGATCCACGGTCTCAAATCCTAGCAGATCGATCGAGAAACTCGACCGACGGTGGACTCGCGCGAGGAATGTCGCGCAATCCGGCGATGACAGTCGACGAAGGTGGACGCTACCGGAAAAACTGAAGGGACCGGCTGCTGCGTGCGTAACCGTGCCCCACAGAGCTCTGACAGCTCCACGGCGAGTGGCCTCGCTTAAGTCTCGGCTGGCCCCCCACTTGTTCGACCAGGGGCAACGCCGATTGGTCGTCGCTGCCGGCTACAGCGGCAATTGGCATTCTGATCGAGCTTTCGGAAAATTTCCCCCGATATCTCGTTCGGTTCACAAGCCCAACCCCTCCGTGTTCGTACAGGGCCTTACGTGGGGAGAAAAGTGGGAACTGTCGGACCAAAGGAAGGGAGGGCCTGTCGAAATAGAGGATACATTGCGAATAGATCCAGAGGAATTTTTCGTGTCAGAAGTCGCGATGACAACGATAAATGAGGATCGCTAATTAGATACAGAATTATTAGAGAACATTTGAGGATCTGATACATGAGATTAATGATACATGAGAAGAAACTGTTTTTTTTTAGGCTCCAAATAAATGAAATATATAGATCGCGATCAGTCTAAATATGTAAAATAGATTCAAGGCTTCCTAAAGGAACGCATAATTTTATAGACAAAATTAGACTGATGTTTATTCATTTTTAATTAATTGTATCATTAAACACTTAACTGCCCTCAATTTGTTATTCATATAGATATCATTTTGTTGTAATATCGTATAAAAATACTTTAAATTTTAAAGGTGTCGCGTGTATTGAAGCTATTTCATTATCAAAATGAAATGCGTTGGAGAAACTGCTACATCGTCTTCTAACACTATTTCTAGCATAGCGTTATAGGTAGTGGGATGGATTCATTGACCTCACGCGAAATCGATCGTGGAGTTATCATTTTAGAAACAGTGTGCTCGAGCTACGGTTACCATGAACTTGACGATTTTCTTACATGATTGTATATTATGCATGTTTTACATTTTACGAGGCAAATGATTCTAAAAATTAATAAATTTTACCATTCCGCAAAAATATTATAAAATTATTATTATCATTATCATACAGGTCATGTCTGGAATGTTGAAAATAAATTGTATTCGGTGTAGCATCAAAAAGTGATAAATAATTATATTTCGATAAGAAAATCTACTCACTAAAGAACAGATCTTATCTTATCTCGTATTAGTTCGTATTTACATAATGATTTAGAAAGACTACAAATTTAAGTTAATTTAAGTTTACAAATCTATTAAGTTGTACTACTAAAGAAAATTTTACTAAAATGAGTTTAATATTTGTAGATAAAGATGCATCATATAAATTAAATAAATTAAAACTATTAAAAATCGTACTGACACGTAAAAGATTAAAAATGGAAATTTCTTGATATAATAGAATCTGAGTATTACAAAATTATCAAGTTTACATTATTATGTACAAACTTTTATTTTTATTTATTTAATATTTTATTTATTTATTTATTTAAGTTAGAAGATCGATGTAATAATTTTGGTGGAATATGATTAGGTTAAATAATTTACAGGTTTCCTAATCCGTATCGCAGAATCACTCGATTTTAATCAATTTAAACACAAATATATTTTTCCATCAACATCTTAAGATTATCCTTAAACAAATTATAAGAATGTGGTTTACAAAAATTAGTCTTATGATTAGGGCTTATTGATACAACAGCTGCAACTGCTTCCTTCATTTGTACTGATGACAGTGCCTAGTAAACCGGATTGTCGTCATTGTTCGTCCTTCGCACTCTGCCATTATATTCTAATGATATTGTAGTAAAATAATTGCAACTAAACAAATATTTTCCAATATTATGAAATATAGAAAGATTTGAATTTCGAAAATATATATATATATATATAAAGAACACTGTTCAAGATTATATTTCGATAAGAGTTTTTCATGAAAGAGAGAGAAACATAAGAGCGGGAAACAAACAGCGAAGCGTCTTACGAGCGGGAGATCAGAATCCCATTTTTCATATCAGCGCGTGTACACACTTTTTTACGCCTTCAATTTAATTTAAATAGGATCTAAAGAGTTTATCCACGGCATTAGTTTGATACGTGCTAACCGGTCCCGACGTTATTGCTCGCGCATCGCAAAATCGTCCGCTCGTTGACAGTCTATGCTGCATTTAGAACGAGAGGCAATTCTAACGGAACGGAGAGGACGCGCGTCAGCGTCTCATCTGTCGATACAAATTAATGCATAGTCTAGCTTATGGTCGTGTAGATACCCAGATACGCCGCCGCAGCACTTGCCGTGCAGATTGTAGTTTGTCGTTCGTCGTCGCTCGCGGCTACGACTTCGTGTTACTGGGATAAAAGGTGAATGACTTGTTGCTACTTGGTACTCATCCCACCAGCAGCATCCCGCTCTACGTTTGGGGGGATAGCGCGTCCTTCTGCTATGTCCGAGCGCGATAAAGACGGGTGGAACGAGAGAAAAGCGAGAAGAGGTGGGAGATCGAGGGAGATCGAGAAAGGAAGAGAGAAAGAGGGCGACACGGTGATCATAAATTACTTGATCATCCGGCAAGGTTCGATTTGCCGATCGTGTGTGCATCTCCTTGTTACACCGCGACATCGTTAAGTCCACTTTCGAGAGGGAATATAGATTCGGGAGCGTTTGTTGGCATGCTTCCTCTTTCGATTTTTCGTATTAGTCGCACGTGGAACGCACGGTCGAATATTAATTAGCGTTACGTTGATAAATAAAGCTCACATTCATGCTCCCTTGCATCGTCAATGTGTACCACGTGTGTAGCCCCTTTTTATTCGTCGTATCAAAATCAGCTTTCAGTCGCTTCAATAATAATTTTCACGTGAGAATTACAAAGTGCGATAATATATGCCTAATATCCACGACTGTAGACCTCACGTTTAGGCTTTATGGATGTTGATGGACATTTAAAAATATTAAGAAATTGTACGAGATAATCATAGCCTCCTTATGGTGTTATATGTCGTAATGTGTGTACGTCTTGTACATTACCAAAGATGTTACCAGGAATCGTGTAAAGTTATCTATCAATAATCTAACATGAGATTGGATATGTACTCATAATATATTATATTGTTCATACGTATTATCTCATTAGTAAATATAAATATCAAGATGCAAAAGCAGTAGTTGAGATCCGGTAGCGTAAGAGAGTAACAACAATTAATCGTGTATTTCAAAGAATATATAATGATTGAATACTGACTAGCGTTATTTATCTTTTTTATATTTGATATATTAATTATCTGATACCGCCAATATCAGTTATTTATTTTTCGACAACAATGTCATAGAAATGTCATATTTAAATATCGTCGTGTGGATAGACATTTTGAAAATAATGATCGTCTGTTGAATTTCTAACGAAGACGGCCTCAGTGGCCGACTCTTGCAGCAATTCAGACACCCTTTTTTTACTGCGTTGTGCTTCTATATGCCAACGGCGATTGTGCAAGATACGAACCTGCCTACGTACCCATCGAGGTTTGCGCAACAGGCAACTTCGAAACGCCGTCCTGATGTGGATCTTTTCTTACAAGCACGCAAGATCCATGAATTCAGCGCAGTAAATTCAATCGATAATAAAAATTTCCTCCATTGTTATCTTTTTTTAGTAAAATATTTAGATATTTTGTGGATAGTAAATAGATATTAATAATTAAATATGATTTCCATAGTTTTCCATTTTTCTATTCATGTTAGCCATCTTTCTCCCTCTTTCTCTCTCTTTCTCTCTAAGTACTATTAGTTTTTAAATAGCAAGTGATTTGCATTTCGTGGTAGTTACTGTAACTTTTCGGATTATCGACCTTTTCAAGGTTTAAAGTGGCCAAACTACTTTGAAGTCTCTTTGATTTTTTTTTGGAACAGATCGTGGGAATTATTAGAATTATATAAGAAAAAATTATGATGGCCAGTTCTTTTTCAATGTCTGCATACTAGTTTTCAATTTAACGATTTTTATTATATCATATTTTTATCATATCAACATTTTATTAATCTTGTTTGCGTATGTTCAATAAAATAGCGTTCTGACTTTATCTCTGTTTAATATTCGTTAAAACAAACATTCAACAATTTCGATAATATTTAATTTTTCAAGATATATATAATACATTCTTAAACTTTCTAAATATAAATAAAGAGAAATAATTAGCCTGGAAATAATTAGTTGGTTAAATTTAAAATAACTTATTGTTTGTTTCAACGATTAATTACCAACTCTATTTCTTCGACTAGTTGAGGGAAGAAATTAAAATTAATCTTTCGGTAATTAATTCAAAGTTAACAAGAGCGTTTTCAAAACAAAATGATGTGTTTTCAGTGTATCTGGCAATTTCCTCTAGTAGAGAAAACCAGTCCCTTATAGACATGAGTCTAATCAGGAAACGTGGCACCTTATCAGCGCTCAACGGCGAAGCCATCTCGGCCGTCGTAGTTAACGAACGGCGATCTTAATCGTGCCGGTGCTGCCATGATCCTAGGTCGCCGAAGGACTCGGAAGTCCAGACACGCGTGGTATCATCGTCACGCTGAGCTGTGCCCCGAGTTGCTCCACTAGCGGCTGGGAAAAAGTGAAAGACACTATGAGAGGAGGATGCGAAAGAAACGAAGCAAAGAATCGGAGGAGGGGAGAGTATGATGATGCCGAGACAGGAAAGGAGAAAGAGCGAGAGAGGACGAGGAAGAGGACGCGAAGAGGGTGACGTCGATGGAAAGGTGCGAAGGCGAGGGAGGACAGGAGGAGAATAGAGGGGAAAAGTGGGGAATATATAAAGAAGGAGGCATAGGAAGAGAGAAGTGGAGAAACCAGAAAGGATGGAGAACGAACCAGAGTGCAAACGAGCAATTGAGACAGTGTGTGTGTGTGTGAGAGAGAGAGAGAGAGAGAGAGAGAGAGAGAGAGAGAGAGAGAGAGAGAGAGAGAGCGGTAGAGAAAAAGAGAGAAGAAAAGCAGAGAGACGCTCGCTCGAGTTGTCGAGGCGATTGTGCCGATGTGCGTGGCAAAGTTTTGCGCCGGGCTCTCCCTGACCTAACCACTCCACTTTTGCCGTCTCGAGTCGACTCTGTCGTGGCATGGTCTGACTAGTCGACTATTTCCTAAGGACTATC